CCCTGGTTGCCATGTTACCATGCTTATTCATCTAATTCTACTGAAGTTGCTTGCTACTTCCTTTGCAAAAAAAAAGTCTGTGAACCACTGTAACAGAATAACTGAAAAGCTATATGCAAACCTCATTGGATGAAATTTGCCAGATATTGTGCATCTAGGCATTATTCTACAGAAACAGCTCCAGTATGGGCCAAGAATTAGGCTTGGGGAATAGAACATGGATAAAATGTCCTTCATAACCCTGAGGTCAGAAGGAAAATACCATGTAGAAACAAAATACCATGGATAACTCTAGACCACACTTGTCATTCCAGGTATATTTTCTTTCCTTAACAAATTCAATCCCACTTTTTCCAGCCAGGATCAAAAGTGACTTGCAACTAATTATAAACTGCATCCAGGTTTCAGTGGGACAAAGAAGACTGGCCAAACATGCTGGGAAGAGATTAGTTCCTATATACAATTGATATTAACTGAGCATTGGGTCTTACACTCAGGTTAAGCGGGTTTGGCTGTCAAGCTTATTTAAGATCAACCAGATGCAGAAGATTAGATTTGCCAAGTAAACCCTCCAGATGACAGAGCCCTTGCCTTTGACCCCTGCAGCAGTCTTTAAACAGAGCAGACATCCCAGTCTGTTCCCCTGCAACACAATAGGCTCACAGTCAGGCCTTCCAAGTGCCCCCTCCCTATTTTCTTGGAAAATGTAATGGTGAAAGAGAGCCAAGCTGCAGCCTGGCTTGGAGTTTTCACCTCTTACCCCGAATTTTTCTTGGAGAACAAGGCTTAAAAACAAGGCAAGCAAAGAAGGATGGGGGGATTTAAGAACGGTAAATGGAGAAAGAGGGAGAAACCTAATTGACAGATTTTGTTCCTTCCTGCCTGAATAGAAGATCCTAAATATACAAGCAATTGTGTACTTTATGCCCTCATCCTCTACTGCTTGATTTTCCAGTTGTCAGGAAGCATCTTTTATTTTAAAATGATTTTTAACATTTTAATATGATCCAAGTTTTCATTGCAAGTCATCTTAGCAACCCTATTTAGGCCAAAAGGCAAGTCATACATTTACAAGTAAATAAAACTGGTTAACTTACTCATTTTTCTAAGAAGAGGTATGATTGGACATGCCCTATAAATTGCACACTGTGAGCTCCCATCACACCCATATTCTGGCTATTTATCTCCTCATCCTGGGAGTCACATCTGTTACTTTTAGTCGCCATCATAAACATATCCATGGTTCCAATGGTTTCATTTTATTTGTAAGTAAATGCTCGCTAGATTATTCTAAGTGAAATAAATTATAGTGATTTCTTTTTAACACTGCATTTATGCCCTGCCTTTCTTCCTTTTGCAAGGAACCCAGGGTGGCTTACAAAGTTCTCCTGCACATTTTATCCTCACTGCAAGAACCCTGTGAGTTAGGTTAGCCTGAGAGTCTGTGACTGGCCCAAAGTTGCCCAGTGACCTTCATGGCCAGCAGGGGACTAGAAACCAGACCTCCTGAGTCCCAGCCCAGCACTCTTAACCACTACACCTTACTGCTCTCAGCTTGTTCTGTTGTATGTAAAAATGTGATTTTTTTTTTAATGAAAGCCCTGACATTATTTTATTTTAAATAATTGGTTAAGCCAAACTTCCCCCAACCAGGTGCCTCTGAGATGTTTAGAACTTCAATTCCCATTAGCCCCAGTCCACATAACTGATGAACAGTAATTCTGAGGGCTGTAGTCAAAAACAGCTGAATGGTACCAGAATAGGGAACCAGAATGGGGAAGTCTGGGTTAAGAAAAAGATAGTGTAGAATTCTATTTCCTTGTGTTGATGGCGCACATTTGAAACTAGACTTTTATCAACAACAATCCTATTATTAGGAGTCCACTTTGGAGCAAGGGGTTCATTGGGCTCAGGCCAGGGATGTGGACATTATAAAAAGGGGGCCTCCAGACATGCACTTTGGAGCTGGAGATGCCTCGTCTGGGACGAGGCGAGGCTGCAAATCCAGGTGGCTAGTGTTTTGAAACCTTTGCCCCACAGAGTTTGCGTGGCCTTAGCATTACCATAATTACAGCTAAAGCTCTGTAAGCTGCTTCTGTAGTTTCTGACACAGATGCATGTTGACTCACAGCTCCCCGTGTAGTTCCATTTCAAAGCAGAGAGTTTTCCAGGCTACATTTCAAATCTCTCCACCATGCTAGAAGCAGCCAGACACACACAATACATGATTAGGCAAAGCTGGCTGAAGCCATGTCCAAACTTCGCCCTCCTGGAGAAACCCAGTTCCTCCAGCTCAGAGAAAGTGCCCTGGTTTCCCTGCTATTAAGATATCTGATGTCTTGGGGCAAATCAGCCACTCCAATAGCTCTGCATAAATGGAGGTCATTGGCTGAGGTTTGCAGGCAAAGTGTCTTGTAGGGTGTTCAAGATCTGATTACCCACCATGTTTCTTGCATGCAGATTTATCATGTGCCAGAATTTATTGTTTCCTTGTTTTTGTCAGCAGACTGGCAAGGAAAAGCTATCATAATGTGACAGTCCAGGGAAAGAGGAACAACATGGTTCTGCTAGCTATGCAGATCTTCTTGCCATTGGCACTCTGCTCTTCTCAGCAACTGGAAACCTGCGCCTCTGCATAGTCACAAGAGGCTTGCCTTCAGAAGAGGGCATCTCTTCACTGAGAGCAGGAGACATTCTGGCACAAGGCCCTTCACACTGATGACTGAAAAAGAGAACAGCCAGTCCAGCTAGCAGGGTGCCCATCTGCACAAGCTGTGTGCAACTTTTCTGCAGCCAACTTGATAGGTCAGCTTGAGCCGCCTCCCATGCTTTTCCCCAGAAAAAGAGGGCAACATGTTCTGTACTTCCATGCACCATGCTCCAAAAAATACACAAGAGATTCCAGGGGTGGAGCTGCCCAACTTTGCCTTCTTTTCGTATGAAAGATATGAACGGATGGTGTATAGTCTGAGTTATTAATAAACATACCTCTACTTGTATACTAATAAGTATTATATGGCTTGGGACTGCAATGCACTGTGATCGATGAGAAGCCTCCTCTGAGGGGGTTCCCCGGATGACAAGGGAGAAGACCTTCTTGCTGTTAGTGGAATTGTGATCCCATTGAGGAATGCCTGGCACCAACACTGCCATCTCTGTGGTGCCAGATTAAGACATTCTTCTACTCCCAGGCATGTGATGGCTTATGATGAGATATTTATGTTCTCAGTTTGCTATGACCCTGGTGTTACTGAAACTGGGGAATGGGGAGCCAGCTGTTTAAAAATGTTAGCTTGTATTTCTGGGATGCACTTTCGGTGAACCACCCAGCAAAGGTTGGCTATTGGGAGGCATAAAAATGAAATAACGAGCAAACCACACCTTCAGGGTAGATCCTCCTGCATGAAGGCCAATTGCTCTGACATTTCTCAGCTGGTCAGCTCTCTTAACCTGATGCTGTAGCCTGGGATCACTGATGCCAGCTGTGCCTGCTTCACATTAGCAAGCTCTCTAAACAGAATGTGAAGCTGGTTCTCAGCAACTGCCTGTAATCTGCATGTCCACTGGCCTTGATATTCCAGTGGCAGAATCCAACCCCCTCCTCACTGGAATCAGATTCTGTGCCTACAACCTTTGCAGACTCCTTTGTTGGAAAAGTGGGCCTGATCTATACACACACATGCAGAAGCCTCATGTTGCGCAGCCAAGGAGTGAGCAGACCCTTCAGGAAGCACTGCCTCACCCCAGGTGCCTTGTAGTAGCGATTTCTGTGGAGCCAGAAGCAGAGGGCACCTCTTCCCCCTCCCAGTAACCCTCCAGGGGCTGTCCAAGGGCAGTTAAACTTGTTCTGTTAGACCTTTTTATCCACCAAAGCCATTGAAATGTGATCTTAAAATGTGGATTCTCAGTATCAGATCTGTAATTCATGGTATATTTGTGCCACTGCTCTATTGGTTCTATCTTCTTTAAAAAAAAAAAACCATAAAGTATTTATGCAATATTTTATGTTGCAATTCATTGGAGCTTAGGGATATGGTGTTCTATTTAAACTGTTCTTTTTTTCTTTTTTGGAGCCAAAAAGGAACAAAAGTTATTGGGGCAATCTGTGCAAACAAACAAATAAATCACATAGCAAAACCAGTCACAACCACCAAGCAATGTTTAAGAGTATTTTCATATTTCAAACTAATAAGAAATCAAAGGGCCAAACTGCCTAGCATCTATTCATATTTCTATGGGTTAAAATATCTAATGAATTATTGAAAATCCAGTCTGGTTATCCCTTCCACCCTTCCAGAGGCCATCAAGCTAATTATTTAGTTAATCCAACTGGTAAAACAACAGGCAACAATGGAATCTAAGAGGGCTTGATTTTACATTTTTAAAAGTATGCATTCCAAAAAGGAAACTTTTCCAAGACAAAGGATTATGTCATCATCTAGGGAGCCTTCATGCCTAATGCAGGAAACCCAGCCTATGAAAGAGAACCAAAATGTTTCCACTTAAAAGAAAAAGAGACAGAAGAATGACTGCTAAGTGGTGCAGGATAAAAATAATAGAACTTTGCCCCAGCCAAATCCTACCCCTTGTGAACAACAGTGGTGCACTGGAACGAGGGCCACACATTTTGATTAGCTGGCACACTAATTTCATCTGTCAACCTGCTCAGGCTTTTCTCTCAGTTGAAATTCTCACTGGCTGGGAGGCAGGGGTAAAGATTTTCCCAGCAACAGCATATTGTGGTCTTGAATGGGCAATTAAGGCTCACTTGCTTCATGAACTACCAGCTGCTCCTGGAAATAAAACTGCTAGAACAGGTTTGTTGAAGGGGATCAACACAACTGCCTGAATGTTGGGACTTTCTTTGGGAAAGTGGCTCTGGGAAACAACACGGTGAGTGCATGCCCTCAAAATTTACCACAAGACCACGGATAAGCACATAAGAGATCCACTTGGGATCGTCCTGTGATTTTTGTCCACTCAGTTACAGAGAGACTTACTTGCTGTAGACTTCAGGGGTTGGATCCAGGATTTACCATCTATGAGGCATGGAGACCTTCTGTTGGAAGAAGAGCTCTGTTGGGGGAAAGCCTCTCCATCTGACCTTCCCTTTGGAAATCCCCTGCCTTTCCACATTCAGATCGCAGCTCACCACCTTTGGCAGCGACTCCTGACGAGCATTTTCAGGGAGCTAGAATGCTTGCAGTGGGGAGGAGGCAATGAGAAAATTTACTTCCGACAGCACTGTTGATCCTGTGTAAATCTGGATTCAGACCAAAAGACCTCAGCCAATGGTACTGCAAAGGCTGCTGTCAGAAAAGATGCTGACACACACACACACACCCCAATTCAGATGAGTGACCCTCAGGCCCCTATGCAGGCTCCTCTGGGGAACCTCACAGCTTCTGCTGGGCTCATGATTCCAACCACGGTCATATTGAAGGTTGCTGCAGCTGCACGCAGGACAGCAGCAGTATCAGGAAGCCACAGCTCAATAGGGGGATCTGCCTTGCTCAAGTGGTTGAATTGTGAATTAATAGATATCACATAAAATGGGATCTCTCTCCCTCTTGCTCTCTTTCTCTCCCCAGTATTCTTTCCTCCAGAAGGAACTGAACCTGCAGGCTGCCAGACCCTGATGTGTCCTATGATTCAGAGGAAGGAAAAGGTTCAAAATAAGAGGTCACTTAGGGTAAATAAACATCTATGAATGAGCATTGTAGTGAGTCAACTCAAGGACCAGGAAAGGTCATATAAAAGCATCAGTAAAGAAAAATGGGCACTCCAATTCTGCACTTTGGATATTTGACTTGACTAACAGGGCTGTAACGCGGTAATACAGCAACTGCGTTGCACGTACAAACTCCAAGGTTCAATCCATGGCATTTCCAGGTAGGGCTTGAAAGACTGCTGGCTAAAACCCTGGAGAGCCAGGATGGATTTCCCTGTTGATCCCACTTTCCTTCTCCACTTCCACTGCTGTTTATTTCCCCTTACGCTGCTGCAATGGTCTCACCATAGAAATACCCTTGAAGAAAGCTTAGAACTTCAGCACTAGTCCAGAACATGGCAGCCTAATTATTCTCGGGGGCTGGCAGTGAGTGAGGCAGGGTGGGAATTCTGCCTGGATTACTTGTTTCCCACCTCAGCTTAGCTGAAGGTGCTGGTGAGGCTGTTCAGGCTGCTTACATCTGCACAAGGCCTGCCTCTTTCTGGACATAGCTCTCCCTATTAGAGGAGGATCCACATGCAGTTCTCCAGATGCTGTTGCACTGCAAGTTCCATCATTCTACATCATCCGCTATGCTGGCTAGGACTAAGGGCAGTTGCAGTCCAAGCAGAGCTAGAGAAACACAAGCTAACCACCTGATTTAGATCTACAGGAGAAGAGCAACCCTATTTTAATTTCTTTATACTCTGCTTGCTGCCTGCCTCCTAACAAGACATTGCTCTTTAGTTATAATGGACTGAACTTTGGTTGCCCCATAACTTGATAAACAGAGGAAACAGAAATACTAGAAGGTCCATTCCATTTTTCTAAATAAGAAGGGCCCAAAAGTGGGCTGCGTGGATGCGGGACATGGCCCCCTCTTCTCTGGGCCATACAGCCACTACACAGAGAAAATAGCTTTGTCAACTTGACGTTCATGAGCTATTACAGGCCAAAATTGAAATTATGTTAAATGTGTGGCTAGTTATGGCAGCTTTTACATTTACTCTAGAGTAGGTGCAGGACCACCAATCTAGAGTGGGACTGTGATATGGGGGGGTGGGGAGGTTAAGATCAGGATTGACCCACTGCACCTACACGAGAGTAAAAGTGAAAAGAAGACATAACAGCATCTGCTTTGGCCTTGTTCTGTGCAAGCAGGACCAATATACTAGCAGTACAGATCATTCTTTTGAAGCCTCTCTTTTAGGGTGTTATTATTGCTAACGTTAATGTTATTAATGCAGGGAACCAACACTGTTAATATGGGGTTGATGTTCTTTAGGCAGGGGTAGGAGGTTAACACAACCAAACTGAATTTCCCCTAAACAATCTGCAGAAATGCTTTGAGCGAATGCATATCTAAACATCTACCAGGCCTTTCTTTCAAATCCAGATTCTCTGCCATCTGGCTGAAGTGAGGAGAGTTGTCAGAACATTACATGGTTCATTGCCATATTTTATTCTCCTCCTCCAAGCTATTAGTCGCAAGACTCCAGACACACCACTTCAGTTGTGCTGGGCTTTCAAGGACAAAAGGCAAATAAAGCTGCCTGTGCAGAGTAGAGGCTGACGTTAATGGCCAGAGTACAGAACTCATAAGCAGACAGTCACAGAGTGTCCGGCGTTTCTCTTACACCAGGGCGTGGCTTTTGCCAGTAGTAAAACATCCACTCAGAGGGAGTTCACTTCCATCAGGAAAACGGCGGATCAAATGCTCCCTGTGTGGAAAGTGGTGGGAAAGGAAATGAGTTCTTAGACCTCAAGCCCCACCAAGCAAAGTGTACTTTAGTCAATTATGTCATCGCTTTAATGCTTTCAAAATGCTTATTTAAATACATGCATGCACGCACAGATTTCAGTCAAACATGAATGACTTACAAAGAAAGATTGTACTATGCACCTTCAGTTTGATATAATGGGTGTTGGCCAAAGGAAACTTGGATGCTTTAAGCTGAGCAATGGCCAGCTAGAATTTCTGAGGGAGTTTTTACATACTGCAACTATTTTGTACATAATTATTTTATTGTGAGTCTGTATACAGTATTGTCATTGGTTTAATTGTAGATCACCCTGGGAGCATATGATGAAGGGCAGCTCTTTGATAACACCCACACAAATATGTTAAATCTGTTCATCTTTAAGATGCTATCAAACTTTCTTTTCTATATGCATATGGGTATACAGTCTGGAACTATGTATTTACATATTGTATTGTCAGATTTTTCTGCAATGTGGTGACTTTGGTGAGTTATCCCATATATCTTAGCAACACTCCAATTTGGGTGGCAGTAAATAACTCACCCCTTGGGAAAACCAACATTTTTGATGGAGAAACTTGACCAAGAAGGTTATGGAGCCTTGAGGAATTAAATAGTCTCTAAATTCCACCTTGGACAGGAGCAGTGACAGTATGAATCAGAACTGAAGGCAAAGGATATTGATGTGATGTGGAAAACTTAAAGTGAGATGGTAACCACCATAGCATTGCAATGAAGAAGGCAATGGAAACCACATTCTATTTTCCAAATATATGCTTCATGGCTAGGCTAGATTAACCTAGCAGAGGTTAATGTCTAGCCTCCACTAGGAAGGGAACAAAAAGAATCAGAATATTTAATGGGGCAAAAGCTTTCCAGATTCTTCTCCTTCAAGCTGCCACAATGTTGCATTAGGAATATTTGTGTTACGTCATTGTTTTCCCATTTAATCCACTTTTGGTGTCTAGGATGACCAAAGAGTGACTTGATTCAAAGTGCTAGACTCACATTCAGTCTGACCAGATGGCAATTCACTGTGAAATTTGTCAGTGGAAGTAAAGTGAGGGCTACATTTGTGTCCCTGATTAGGACCCCGCCTTCACACAGAGTTTCCAGGAAAATCGGGTGTCTCCTTAAAGAGGTAACAAGAAGATAAGAACAGAAGAAAACCATGCTCGATCAGACCAACCGTCTATTCAGTCCAGCACTCCATCCACATAGTGGCAAACCAGCTGCTCACAGGATCCCCCAAGCAGGGTGGATGCAACAGCTCCCTTCTGCCCAAGCTCCCCAGTAACTGGTGCATGCAGACATAGTGCCTCTAGTACCAGCACGTAACCATCTAAAGCCACTGAAAGCCTTCTACTCCATGAATTTGTCTGACTGTCCACTTTCTCATCCCAGTTGAGCCTTCATCTTCCTTTTATTCTTGCATTATAGATTCACATTTTCTCCTCCTTTTTAATAAAGGTCTTGAGTAAATTTACTGATGCAGAGGCACTGCTCTATGTCTTTTCCTGCTTGCCTTTGCAGAAGATAGAGCAGTGTGTTTCTGATCTTATATTGTCTCAGTTACTGCATGATATCATACAGTCATGTTAGTATCCTTTACCACCTTTTCCCCAGTATCCAGCATCAGTTATTGTACAAATGTAACTTTATTGGTGTGGAGGGAAGCAAAAAGGAGGAGGCAAACATGGGATCAGGACAGCAGTGCAGTAGCACATGATAAAGGCCAGGTGCTTATTATGATAGCTCCCATAGCTACATGCCCTAGGAGAGTTTAAAAATGCAGAAAGTGGTGTCTTTCATAAAGCAAATGGGTCTTAATTACCTGGTCCAGACCAATCCCCTCAACACTTTCTAAGAGTGGCATCTTGCAACAGTGCCTGGGTTCAGACAACACAGTAATTCACACTCAGAGGTTGAGTACAGGTTATTGTTAAACCATGAAATGTTGTTAAAGATGTGCTATCATCTTGGGGAACCCAGATGAGATAACAGAGCAAGGTGAAGAACCTCAATTGTAGCCCAACAACAAACCATGTGTTCTCTTAAGGCACGATTTGTTCATGCACCAGGGTTCAGACTACATAATAGCCCACAGTTCAATGACAACCCATGCACGGAGCATGTTCAACTATTGAGCATGAGTTATCACGCTGTCTGAATCCTGTCATTGCCGCTAAAACCCATTCTTCTACCAGCTATCATGAGCACTTCCACAAAGCTTAGAGGAACAGGAAAATCTGGGAGAGGTGATGGCAGATAATGCCTTCTGCCCTGCTAATTAAAACCCCTGGTGCTTCAACCCTGTGAGCCCTTGCCCCACTACATCACGGGGGTGGGGGGGGGCTCCCCCACCTACAGCACAACTACTTTTCCTGGGAAAGTACATGGGACTGACTATGGATCAAACACAACCTAATACAACCCATTTTCCCCACTCCAAAATTTAAGTTACACCTGGAAAAACTGTAGCGTTGTGCAGCTAGTCCATCTTTCCATCCTTACCCGATATTTTGTGGTATGAAAAAAGGCAAGTGGAAAAAAACACAGATGGGTTCCAATGGGTGGTAACAATGCCTAGCCCCTGGTAAAATTCAGTGACTGGAGTAGGGTAATTGTATAATTTAAGTTTCATCTGGAAGCACCCGAGTTTAAGGTGGTGAATCAGTAAGCACTTCAAAGACTAATTATAGTTTCTGGATGAACCATTAGGCTCTCCTGATGTGGATGGTGGTTATTAAGGAGGCAATCTTCATTATTTTAATGTGAGCAGTCCAAAAAATGGGTAAAGGTGTTGGAACATTCTGAGCCTCAAGGCTTTTTCTCAGAAGTAAGACAGCATCATTCATTTCAGTCAAGCTTTTATCCCAGAAAGTTTGCAGCCTTCTCCCACCTAGTGCCCTTGAATTATTTTTGGACTACAACTCCTTCTAACACTGTATAGATGAATT